TTGATTTGCAAACTAAGTACTTTCACAACCTTACAGCTAGCATAAGCAAATTGCAATAAATGCGGACAAACAATGATGCTTTATTTCCCGTCAAACTTCATTCTGATAAAGGAGCACATCCGTCCATCTGCACTGCACAAAGCTGAATTGCACAGATAGCGTTTCGATGGTGACCGAACTCAGAAGCTACCTCATCATGATCACCAAACGAAGGATCGACAACCGTTAATACTGATTGTAACCGTTGTAAGCGACAAAGGTTCATGTTGAGGCGTAAGAAGTCCGCTTGGCATGCCGTCGCCCTCCCAAGAAGAGTGAAGATATACGATGTTCAATGTAATACTACAATAGTGAAACTAGCTCCATAATTAATGTGTTATTGGAATAGCTGATCGAATAATATTCCATCATTTGCACATTGGAACGACGATTCAGCGGATGGTACAGCACCTGATGAATTGAGTTTATACACACTAATGTTGCATTATGAAAACATACTCATATCAAGGCATAACTATGCATGTATATGCATCGTCACCGCTGCCCTCCTATTGAGCGCGTTGGCGCAAACCTCGTAAATAACTTCGCGTAACTTGTGATTCAATAGAGAAGGATTCGTCGAACTGCACCGAATAGCCTAACTCCAAGACGAGCAATGCTTGGTTTGTACCTCAAATGCAAAGTCCCATCAATGCTCAAGCCTAACCAACCAATTAGTGAGGTATGAGACCTGTTCCACGATTCATTTAAAAGCTAGGCCGACATAGGACTTGCCGAAAAGGTACCGTAGACGTTAAAGCACGAATTTATAGGTTTTCACACAACTCCAGAACAAACGTAACACTATTGAATCCGAAAGCTAGTAATGTAGTTAAGAGATTAAGCAATAAAACGACTGCAGCCAAATTCCCTATTCACCTCCCTATCCATTGGAGCAGCAATTTTGGAGGATAGATGTAAGGAATCTGTGTATATGGAATCAGATGAGGTGCACAATTGATGGAATTTGTAATAAGAGAAGCTCAGGACTTAGTGCTCCTTTCTGATACCTTAACTGGAGAGAGTATTTTCAATAATGCAACAAAGTTTTTTTTGGAAAGCCTTTGTCGAAAATTTATGCAGAACATGTGCATGAGAGTATTTTCCCATCGTTGTTGTAAGCTCTGGATCGTTGATAAACCTACAAAAAATAGGAAAGAAAATTTACGCAAAAACGGCTTATCAATGCATAAAAGCTTAGTCGCGAATCCCACTTCAATGTACAATTTATAACTGCAATTTAATTGTGGTGTAAAATTCATTTGTGGTTATTTAAACGATCCACAAAGATAACATCCAAAAGGGCGATGACAATGATATCAACCGCATTTGATTTCGGAAATTGCGTCAACAGACTTTGCTCAAAGAAACGAGGTGCAAAGTCGCCATCAGTTTGGAGTTGGTATTAAAACAACTCTTTACTAGAGCCTCACTTGCACATGTATTCAGCAATCTTGGCAGCGACTTCCGTATTGTCGAAAGCATCAGCACTGGGAATAGGACAAAGAAACCCAGTTTGTTGATGAACGAGGGTCTCGCGTGGACCTCCAGCATCCATTGCAATGACAGGCCTACCAAGATACATAGCCTCAATCGGCACAATGCCGAAGTGCTCGAAGGCAGGGGTGTAAATCAGAACCGAGCTCGCCGCAATCAACAGAGATTTGAATTCAGACGATACGGACCGCAGCAGCATAGCCTGTTCCAAAATCTTAACGGTTCAAAATCTGTTATATTCATAAAGGGATCACATTCAAAATGTCGACTTTAACGACTTGTTTCACGAACCTTCAAATCCTCCAACAATTGCTTGAGCTCATCAAAATACTCCACGTTTTCGCGAACACGTACATCGTACCCACCGGCATGAACAATGTAAACATCGGAGAAGGACAAAGGCGAATCCTTTACCAATTCAGACCAATTTTCTTTTAGAGTTGCTATATAACAATAAAAAACAATATTCAAGAAATCAAATCCTATGCTCATTATTTCAACTACAAAAGCCCGACAGTGCTAAGCTGGGGTTTCTGGATCGAATAAAAGAAAAGATTTGGCAAGGGCCTCTGAACACAAAACCAAATTAACACCATACAATAGGAATCAAACGAATAAATTCCGCCTTTGAGATAAATTATTATTTGTCAATATCTCTACAGGCATTATGAGCAGTAGAAATGTGGGTGGAATCATCAACATAAATCAAAACAGCATACCAAATGACTCAAAAGCAAGTTGAATATTCTTTTTTCTTTCATACCGATTTATCGACAAGAACATCAGTTTAGGACGAACACCTAAGATCTTGTGGAGACTCCGAAGAGCAGCCCCAGCATCTGGAGGATGGTAAGCTGTATTGGAAATCTTTACACGTATCCCACGTGGCAAAACCAAGTTATTGGTGTTCGGAACGGGATACAACACCTTTATTTTGCGATTCTTAAGCGAAGGAAACGTTTGTTTAAAGACGGCACCAGTGAACCGACTATTTACAAGTAATGTGTCGGCCATACTCGTCGTAAACTCCTCGAAGAAATCTAGTGGATATCTATAGGCTCTCCGGATCCAGGACTTATGAGGCGACAGTAGTAGATCAGGGAAGTGACCAAAAAATATCGTCTAGGTTTCGTGTTGGTGTTCCAAATGATCTTACTTTGATGCCAGCCAACTTCAGCACAAGCAAGGGAGCAGACACCTGATCCACGAATACCAAATCAACCGACTTGCAACGCGCGAATACGATCCAAACAGAAGCCAAAATCATCTTTATGAAGGCGCACAACGCCACAAAACGGCCCATTATGCTTCTTGGTAGCCACTGAAAAACTGAAGTAACCTTGAGGGAACCGTTAACCGTCTCATCAAAAGCATGCTTAATATCGTGAAAATTCGTAATAATTTCGACGTCATATCCAGCGGACTTTGCAGCCATCGCCGCATCAATAATTGCGCGCTCCGCTCCCCCAATACCCAAATCTGGATGCAAGAATAATATGGCCATCAATCTGTTGCTGCAAAAATACAATAAGGGCACAGATTGGCCAATGAAATTCTAGCTAACTCCAACAACGATTTTCATACATTTCTC